CCGACAAACTTAGCTGTGTCACTTTGGCAACCTTAATGTCTTCAGCCTGTTTCCTTACAGTAGAATGGAGACAATATTGCTTACCTTGTGAGAATGTTAGGGTGAATTGAGAAAATGTACATAAAGTGCTTGAGGCCTTTTAGTATCCAAAAGTGGGCAACTTAAATCTTACCCATCTATAGCAATGATTGTCAACTGGGTAGAGAAGACATGTTCTCCGAGAGAAGCCTATCAGGATTCCTGAGTGAGGCCTTTTTCAAACCCTATGTGATTTCCCCCAAGTGGATTTTTTTTCTCTCCTTTTCTTTCCTCTCCCCTCAACTCTTGAACTATTGCTATGTCAAACAACATTTCCTGACTGGAGACTTTTATTTTGGGATAGTGTTGAAGAAAGCTTGAGAACTTTTGATGAAAGAAGTAGTTTCCAATGTTCTGTGTATCAGATCACTTGGTTTTCTTTATTTAAGCAGATTCCCAAGCTGAACTGCTGACCAGGTTCTCAAACTTAGTATGCATGCACAAGAAGTGCAAATTCCTTTGGCTTGCTGAAAATGGAAGGGAGAAGGGGGAGAGGAGAGATGATTATGGTGTTTAAGAATGAAGAATCCAATGGACTTTTTATATATTTTCAAGGGTTGCATTCTGCTTTACTACGTCTCCTTGCAACTAACTATCCACATTTATGCATTGTGGACGATTGGATCTGTGAAGAAGAAATCACAGGAACTGGTGCCCTGCTAAGGCGAATGCTCCTGACTAACAATGCCAAAAACCACTCTCCTGAACAACTCCAAGAAGGTACAGTAAATTGATAGTCCTTTTATCCCTTTAGTAGTATCAAAAAATGTTAGGCTCATTAAATTCTTAAAATCATGCAGAATTTTCCTGGGGATATAACAGTGCTTTTGTGAGTATATTTTAAGTAATTCTCTTTGAGTGTGAGGGCTTAAAAACTGTTTTTTATATCGATTTTAGTGAGAGGAAGGGAAAGAGAAAGAGAAAGAGAAACATCGATTTGTTGTTCTACTTGTTTATGCATTCATTGGTTGATTCTTGTATGTGCCTTGCCTGGGGATTGAACCCCCGCAACCTTGGTGTGTTGGGACTACGCCCTAACCAACTGAGCTATCCGGCCAGGGCAAGTTTGAATTTTAACCATTTTTTTCTGACACACTTCTGTTTCCTTGTAGGTACTAAGTTATGTCACTACATAGGTCATGTCGTTTTAGGAAGGACCTGACCTGGTCAGAACAATGAACGGGCTTTTGAATGGGTTGGCATTCTAGCTCAGCACTTGAGTCAACTAGAAATATGAAGTGAGCCACACTTATAATTTTAACTTTTCAATAGCTACATTAAAAAAGTTAAAAACAGGCAAAATTAATTTTAGTAATTATTTTATTTAGTGGAATATATCTAATATATTATTTCATCATGTAATCAAACATATAAAAAGCTATTAATGAGATATTTTACTGTTTTTCCATATCATGTCTTTGCAATCTGGCGTGTATTTTATACTTAGAGCACATCATATTTTGGAGCAACTACATTTCAAGTGCTCAATAGCCAGATATGGTTAGTGATTATTCTACTGAAAAGCACAGTTCTAGAAATTTTTTATTAACAGTAATCTGCTAGGTGCTTACAACTTATAAAGGGGGCACCCAGAAGAAGGCATCAAGAAGTTTGCGTCCTGAAAAAACTAAGATGGCGGCATAGATAAACACTGGGAAATTGCTGCTTCCCACAACAATCGATAAATGCATCAAAAACACAAGGTGGACATCATCCAGAACTACAGGAGGGCTGGCTGAGTGTAAATTCTACAACTAGAAGGAAAGAAAAGCACACTGCGAGCGGGAGGAGCTGCGGAGGTGGAGTGCAGAGGTACGGGGGCTCGCGCACGGAAAGGGTCTGGCACCTGAGGACGCGGCTGTCTTTTTGAATCCGGAGGGAGACACAAGCTCCCGACGGCTCTGAAATCCGGTTCCGGGAAGTCTCTGGGGACCCAGGACTCATACAGGGAGAAACTGGACTGTCTGCGCCAAAACCGGTTTGGCTCAGTGGATAGAGCGTCGGCCTGCGGACTGAAAGGTCCCAGGTTCGATTCCGGTCAAGGGCATGTACCTGGGTTGCGGGCACATCCCCAGTGGGAGATGTGCAGGAGGCAGCTGATCGATGTTTCTCTCTCATCGATGTTTCTAACTCTCTATCTCTCTCCCTTCCTCTCTGTAAAAAAATCAATAAAATATATTTAAAAAAAACAAAACAAAACTGGACTGTCTGGCAGCGGGAGAGCTTGAGAGCGGCTTTCCCTCAGAGGTGCTTCCAGCCATTGCCGGGACACTGGGACTCGCGACTCCATAGGGCAGGGCTGAGGCTCCGCCATAGCTGCTTTCTCCGCCCTTTGATTTCTTGAGACCCCGCCCCGCCCAGGCTGCGGCAGAGGCTTTTGCATATGAATGCCCCGGCCATTTGCAACCTGTAATTACCTAACTGCAGCCTGACCAGACAGACCCAGAGCTTCCAAGAGAAGGCCCAAGGCTCCACAGCGGCTTGCATTGCTACACAGCTGAGCATCATCAGGGCACTTCCAAACTCCAAAAAAAAGGAAGGGGAATCTGCAGTTCTCTTCGTAGTTCCTGCTGTGTAACCTCAGGCAGAGACTAAATTAGCGCCTCCTTAGATCCAAGAGCCACTGTACCCAGTGGTCAGAGGGGAACCATCCAGATCACAACTCCTCAGATCCATAAGGGACACACTCATGGTGCAGTCTCAGTGAGCACCAAAGCCCCACTGAAGCAAGTCTTGCCCCAGAAGGGTGTCTCCAGCACAGAAGTTCTCCCACTGCAGACACAGCTGATTCTCGCTGCCAATTGCCCTGGAGGTCAATTCCTCCCAGTGATCCTACAACAACCAAGGCATAGCTACAACAAGACTGTGCACAAAGCCCACGAGGGGGTGCACCAAGAGTGTCCACCTCAGGTAACTGGGGAGGCTGAGCCACTGGGCCCTACAGGACACCTAGCACACAAAGCCACTCTATCAACACAGGGAAGCAGCCAAAATGCGGAGACAAAGAAACAGGTCACAAATGACAGAAATGGAGGAAAGCAAACGACTGGATATAGAGTTCAAGGCCACGTTTATAAGGTTTTTCAAGAATTTTATGGAAACCGCCGATAAATTTAATGAGTCCCTCAATAAGTATAGTGAGACCATGGAGGACATGAAAAAGGACCAACTAGAAATTAAGCATACACTGACTGAAATAAAGAATAATCTACGGAGATCCAACAGCAGATAAGAGGATCCCAAAAATCAAGTCAAAGATTTGAAATACAAAGAAACAAAAAATACCCAACTGAAAAAGAAAAAAGAAAAGAGATTCCAAAAATATGAAGATAGTGTAAGGAGCCTCTGGGACAACTTCAAGCGTACCAACATCAGAATTATAGGGGTACCAGAAGAAGAGAGAGGGCAAGATATTGAAAACCTATTTGAAGAAATAATGACAGAAAACTTCCCCCACCTGGTGAAAGAAATAGACTTCCAAGTCCAGGAAGCACAGAGAACCCCAAACAAAAGGAATCCAAAGAGGACCACACCAAGACACATCATAATTAAAATGCCAAGAGCAAAAGATAAAGAGAGAATCTTAAAAGCAGCAAGAGAAAGACAGTCAGTTACCTACAAGGGAGTACCCATACGACTGTCAGCTGATTTCTCAACAGAAACTTTGCAGGCCAGAAGGGAGTGGCAAGAAATATTCAAAGTGATGAATAGCATGAACCTGCAACCAAGATTACTTTATCCAGCAAAGCTATCATTCAGAATAGAAGGTCAGAGAAAGAGCTTCACGGATAAGAAAAAGCTAAAGGAATTCATCACCACCAAACCAGCATTATATGAAATGCTGAAAGGTATTCTTTAAGAAGAGGAAGAAGAAAAAGGAACTCTTACCATGTGCCACAGCATGGATGGAACTGGAGAGCGGATAAATACCACATGAACTCACTCATTTGTGGAATATAATGAACAACATAAACTGATGAACAAGGACTGATCCAGAGACGGAGAGGCATTGATTGGACTGTCGGGCTTTGGAGGGAGGGTAGGGGAGGGTGGGGGTAAGGGGGAAAGATCAACCAAAGGACTTACATGCAGGCATATAGGCCTAACCAATGGACACGGACAACGGGGGGGGGGGGGGGTGAGGGCATGAGCGGGGGGGGGTAGAGGGTAACGTGGGGACAAGGACACATATGTAATATCTTAATAAAAATATATTTAAAAAAAAGAAGTTTGCGTCCTTCAAATGAATACTATTGCCAAAAGCAATACTAGGGAATATTTTCATATTTCAGTCAATTTTTAAAATCAGTCTGAATCATCAAGATAATGACATTTGTCTTTGAGTCGCTACTGTGAATTTAAAAATAATATATTTTTTGTTCTCTATGAAATAATTACAGTTAACATGAATTTTTCTTAAGGTCTTTACTCTAAATATAGCCAAAACTATGGCTAGGATTGAAAGTTTTACTTTTTTTAAAGCAACATTGTTTTCTTGATTTGCTTGACCTATAGTCTGATAGTGCAGCAATTTTCAGCCAGTGTGACACAAGAATATTTAAAACATGCAATACCTCTTTTCCCTTAGATTATCAAATAAAAAATGACAAAAGCCAACACAATAATAGACGTCAGGTGTGAAGGAATCAAAATTATACCTATTTTTTTTTTCATATTGTCAAAAAATATATGTTTTGGTGTGCCACAGAATTTTAGTAATTAGTTTATGTGTGCCATGAGATGAACAGGGTTGAAAAATTGCTGTGATAGAGCAATATTACTTCATCTTTGGTAAGCTGTATGGAATTTAGATTATGACTGCTAAGTTTTCCTTTTAGCATTTTCAGCTGTCCCAGTAAGTCACACACAAGTGATGCAGATTCTAGAACACTTGACTCTACTCTCTGCCAGTGAACTCATACCATATGCAGAAGTATTAACATCCAATATGAACCAGCTGTTGAATGCAGGGGTTCCGCGGCGAATTCTTCAAACAGTCAATAAACTGTGGATGGTTCTTAACACTGTGATGCCTAGAAGGTAATTTTAGTGTATTATTACATATAATGTGTTGCAGTGGTTATATACAATAACCTAAACTTAAATGTTAAAGAAAATTGTTAAATATTTGAAGAATGTCTGTGGGTGGAGTCAAACATTGGTATTTTTTTAAACAATTCTCTAGGTGATTTCAATGTGCAGTAAGTTTAAAGAACATTGATTACTTATTTAGTCTTTAGTCAAATGGGTCTCTACTCATCCATAGATCGAATGGGCTGACTTACAATACTGGGCTGACTTAATCTGAGATTTTGATTCAGGAGGTCTGGAAATATTTATACTTTTTAAATAAAAAAATAATTTTAAATTATAAGTAAATTAAATTTCATATTAATTATAAAGAAATTAATTATAAGTAAAATGACACATAAATTAATAAATGGAAATAACTTTAAAAGTTAAATAGTATATAAGGTCTGCCTATACCTTCCTGTTTTAGAATATTATTCCTTAAAGACAACTATTTTCAGCTTTTATCTTTTTATTCTGGCATTAATGTTTCTCCATATGTCACAATAATATGCTTATAATTACTATGATTTCCTGACTTTCCAATTTAGAAGTTATCTTTTTGACTTCCTACTATACAAGATGAAGATTTAGTACCTGCTTTCTCCCCTGTGAGTCCCTCGTCCACCAGTACATACTTTCTCTTTCTCCTTTTCTCTCAACATAGTTATCTCAAAATTTTTGGTTATAGCAGTCTTCACTGTGCATATTATTATGACTGCATAAGTGTTATTTATAGTTCATCTGTGGAATATCCTTTGATTATAATTTCCTACTTATACAACTGCCTCCCCACCCCGCACACAAACCCTACTTGCCTGTATCCATTCACTCAGATTTTGCATCAATAACTTATTCATCCCTAAACTCCACTATTGAGGGGAAACTTACTTCACAGTTAGTTATAACACATCAGTAACATTTTTTCCTTGGAAACATTCCTCTCACAGCTTTTTCTCATGCTTGAATATGGGATATGCACAGTAGCCATCTGGAATTGCTTTGTCTCGTTTCTTTGTTGGATTCCATGTTTTTCTCTTAGTCGGTTTAGTTCCTCATTTCAGTGCGTGGAACTTACACTCAAGTTGCTACCTGAGAAAAAGGTGTTTGGGAAACATTTTTTTTTTGAGACTTGTCTGTCTGAGAAGATTTTTATTTTCCCGCTCACTTGTGATTGATATTTAGCCTCAATGTAGATTTCTAGCTCATTTTTCCTTTCAGAAATTTGAAGGCTTCCTTCTATTGACTGAATTGGAGCTTCCCTTACTGGTGTTGAATAATGATGTTATACCAATTCCAAATCTTTAAAAAAAATTATTTTATTGATTTCAGAGAGGGAGAGAGAGAGATAGAGATAGAAACATCACTGATGAGAATCATTGATAGGCTACCTCCTGCACACCCCACACTGGGGATTTAGCCTGCAACCAGGCATGTGCCCTGACTGGGAATTGAACCATGCCCTCCTGGTTCATAGGTCTATCAATGCTCAACCATTGAGCCACATTGGTTGGGCTTTCCTCTATTTTAAAAATTTGTCTTTTGACTATACTTTTTTGGATATTTCTTCAATGTTATCATCTGATCTTTCCTTTGAATTAAAAAAATCCTGTTATATTCTTAATTTCTAAGAGCTCTGATCTGAATATTTTAGAATGCCTCCTGTTCTTGTTTTCATATATGAAATATTCTATCCTTTGCAGTGGTTGGCAAACTCATTAGTCAACAGAGCCAAATATCAACAGTACAACGATTGAAATTTCTTTTGAGAGCCAAATTTTTTAAACTTAAACTATATAGGTAGGTACATTGTTATTAACTTAATTAGGGTACTCCTAAGGCTTAGGAAGAGCCACACTCAAGGGGCCAAAGAGCTGCATCTGGCTCTCGAGCTGCGGTTTGCCAACCACTGCCTTAAGGATATTAATTATAGGTTTAAAAAATTTATTTTCCTTCTCATCCAAACATCCTGTTTCTTGGAGTCCCATTCCTTCTGTTTGTATATTTTAATCTTTCAAAATAGAAGCGTTCTTGAAATGTCTGATCTTTCTTGGCTGCCCATTCATATTTAAGAGTGGACAACCTGTGTGTGTGAGGTGGGACTAGTGGACTCCTGGGTTTCACTGTAGAAGATCAGGTACCCTCCACATTGATATGTCATTCAATAATTCTGATGTGCAGTCAGGTTAATAACTATGTTTATAGTCTGTTGATGTGTCATCTCAAAGTGGCACCTCACATTAAAATTTTATGACAAATATAGAACAGTAACTTAATTTGTGAGGCCAAATACAGTTTGAAAGTGCAAACTTTGGTAAGATTTCATTTATAGGTATTATATTACTGTTTTATAGGTGAGGAAACAGTTCAGACAGACTCAATTACGTACATAGTCATAGCAAGTATGATATTACTGAGGATTTAATTCAGATTTTTATTTTAAATGCCATGATTAGTCCATTACACTGGTGAAGAATTTTGAAACTACTTTGTGTTTAATGTTTTAACTTCATTTGTTTTAGAGACATAACAATAGATTAGATTTCTATAGTTTTTAATTTTCAAAGTTCATTCACACCAGTTTTCTATTTCTCCCCCTGAATATATCTTTTTAAGATAGAAAGGACTAGATGGCTACATGTTTCAATCATAACATAATTGTTTTTGAACATGTGATTATTTTCTCATCAGGCTGTGGGTAATGACAGTCAATGCACTTCAACCTTCAATAAAGTTTGTTCGACAACAAAAGTATACTCAGAATGACCTGATGATAGATCCTCTCATTGTTCTAAGATGTGATCATAGGGTACACAGGTATGTGTCATTTGAATTTCATTTTTATTATAGAGTTTTACTTTGGAGAGTCAAAGAAATTCAATTTAAACATATCTAAGGTTCTTGTAGTAACTGGTTCTTGTAGTATGATCTGTGAGGTCGGTTTTTTTTTTTAAGTTGTCTATGTTGATGAACTATATATTCAGTTTAATATTTAATATGTGATTAGTAAATCTAGCCTTAAAGAAATGTCCTTCTTGTGTTGGCAACCCTCAGTAATGGCTGTTCTTTCTCTCAGAACAAGACCAGTAAAGAATAATACCATTTCTGCTAGCATTGTTGAAAAGGCTTTTAAAGAAATTGATTTATTGTGAACCATTACATGCATTATAGCTATGATCTTTTTGGCATCCTCACTTGTGATGTTAGCTTCACTGAGTCCATATTTGTCTATATTTCCTTGCCAATTGCCAAACTTAATTGCTTTGAAGTGGCTTCACTTCAAGGGGCATAATTAATTAATTCACATCATTAATGTTTGAATTTCTATTTGCTAAATAATATCAAAGATTTATAAGTTGAGGGGCCTGCCTTCAAAGTGATTATCACCTTCATAAGACAAATAAATGGAAAGTTAAATAATATGGTCACAGGTAGATGAATGGTATAGTAAGTGAATGCTGTTAAAAGTTCAGGAAAGATGAGGAGGAAGTCAGACCTGAGTAGTATTTTAAAGGATAAAAATAGGATTTAGATCAGTGGTTCTCAACCTTCGGGCCCTTTAAATACAGTTCCTCATGTTGTGACCCAACCATAAAATTATTTTCTTTGCTACTTCATAACTGTAATGTTGCTACTGTTATGACTCGTAATGTAAATATCTGATATGCAGGATGGTCTTAGGCGACCTCTGTGAAAGGGTTGTTTGACTGCCAAAGGGGTCACGACCCACAGGTTGAGAACCGCTAATTTAGATGAACAGACTATAATGGTGGTGGTTAGGGGGTCAGGGAAGATACTGTGGGCAAAAGAATAGTATAAACAAAAGTGTAGAAGCAAGAATAAAAAGGACTAGTGCGGAAGGATGAGTTTTTAAGAACAATTTTAGAATTGAAATATTAGTTAGGGTCATACTATGGGGAGGGGAGCCTTGAGTAATAGGCTAACGAGGTCATTTAGGTGGTAATTTAAGAAGGGAAGCTTTGTGCTATGTGGTTTAAAGAAACGAGTAAAGACTAACTAGAATATACTCTATAGACTCATCTGCCCTCAAATCTGGGGATGATATTCTTGAAGTGACAAAACCTTCCAAATCAGCCAAATATGATTTGGCAAGCTCAGGGTCTCATAGAAAATAGGAATCAGAAGAATAAATACTAGTAGTATAAGTGACATTAAATATCTAATAAAAGGAAAACAATCTATATATATAAAAGGCTAATATGCAAAATGTCCCCTCGGGAGTTTGACTAATAGACCAGTTTGATCACTCGCTATGATGTGTGCTGACCACCAGGGGGCGGTGCGGAACAAAGGAAGGCCCTGGCTGGCAGCCAGAGGCCCCAATTGGCCCTGATCGCTGGCCAGGCCTAGGGACCCCACCAGTGCATGAATTTCGTGCACCGGGCCTCTAGTAATAATACTTCTAGAAAAGAACCACTTCTAAAACAATTTATCAGTGTTAAAAATCTACCTAAGTAGGTAACTTTTCACCTGAAGTGCCTCCAGTTGTTCAGGAAGTTGTTACATTATGCCATCATATGTATGTAATGTTTTTGTAGCCTGGATTTTTTACTTCGCTTCTGAACCTTTTCTCATTTTAATAGATATTCTTATATTAATTGGCCACAGGATATCCACATAGATATGCTTAGCTCAGTCTCTTATTATTAGATATTCTGTTTATTTCTATATTTTGTTATCAATAGTGCTGTGGTGACTGTTCTATGTACTGAGTATTTCCTCAGAATATATTCTTTTTAAAAAAAAATTTTTTTTTTTGTTAATCCTCACCTGAAGGTATTTTTCCCATTGCTTTTCAGAGAGACTTGAAGGGAGGAAGGGAGAGGGAGAGAGAGAAAGAGAAAGAAACATTGATGTGAGAGAAAAGAACATTGACTGGTTGCTTCCCCTACACACCCTGATGGGGGGTGGGGAGCAAACCGGCAACCCAGGTACATGCCCTTGACCGGGAATTGAACCCACCACACTTAGCTGGGGGTGGGGTGGGGGAGTGGGAAGAGAGGCAACACTCTAACCACTTAGCAACATTGGCCAGGGCAGAATAGATTCTTAAAAATGGGATTATTGGGGCAAAAGTAACACACCCATTTTTAGGACTTTTGATTCCAATTTTTTTTTTTTAAATATATTTTATTGATCCTTTACAGAGAGAAGGGAGAGAGACAGAGAGCCAGAAACATCGATGAGAGAGAAACATCGATCAGCTGCCTCCTGCACATCCCCCACTGGGGAAGTGCCCGCAACCCAGGTACATGCCCTTGACCGGAATCGAACCTGGGACCCTTCAGTCCGCAGGCCGACGCTCTATCCACTGAGCCAAACCGGCTTTGGCTGATTCCAATTTTAATTGTCATCCAGAAATGCTGAACCAGTTTACATTCCCATAACTGTGTTTGATATTACACACTTCCTACACTGTTTTATATATTTCCCAATTTCATAGGTGAAAAACGAATTCCCATTTCAATTTATATTTTAGATTGAATATTTTAATGTATCTTCTTTATATTTTAGCCTACCTTTATATTGGATTGCTTATCTTTTTTTTTTTAATTTAAAGAGCTCTTTATAAAGGATATTAGCTCTTTGTGTGTGTGTGTGTGTGTGTGTGTGTGTGTGTGTGTATATATATATATATATATATATATATTGCTGTTTTCCCTCTTATTCTATGGTTTTGTCTTTTAATTTTGTTGATTTTTTAACAAGTGGTCATTCACATGTATTTTAATAAAGTCAAACAATATGAAAAGATATACACATATAAAAATTCATGATATTTAGGATTTGCTTTGCACTAACTCAGTGTTGGTGATGGGAAAGTGGATGGAGGTATAGATGAAATCAGACTAGCAGTGTGTAGATAACTGTTGAAGCTAGTGATGAGTTCTTGGAGGTTCATTATAATATTTCCTCTATTTTGTGTATTTGGGAGTTTTCATAATACATGTTAATAAGTGAATAAACAAGAAGTTTCACAAGAAAAAGGTTCTTCAATTGAAAAGTCTTGTTCTCTGTATCTCTACCATGCTGTCATTGCTAAAGCAAAATTCCTTTGTCCTCTTTGATCAATCCCAGTTCCATCTCTAGAGGAAACTGATGTCAGAATGGTGTGTATGTAGCTTTACTTTCTATGTATTTACTAATTTATAAATAGAAGTATTTACTTTTTTGTTTTGGGTAGTTTTAAAAAATAGTAGTAGTAGTATATTTTGGGAATTATTTTGTTCTTTTAAAAAAAGTTACTGTGCTCAACATTTCCCATATTAGTATGCATAGTTCTACCTCATTTGTTTTAACTGTTACATAGTATTCCATAATAGATTACCAGGCCTGTCCTCTAGAAACATACAAAATGTTTGGAATTTTTTTTTTTTAAATGCATACTCCAGGTGATTCTTAATCTTCAATTTTGGGAAACACTACTATAGTTTATTTAACCATTGACATATTTTTTCCACTGTAAATACATACATAGTTATTATAAAAAATTTAGACATTTCACAAAAACCATTGACATACTGGTATTTATGGACATTTAAGCTTTTCCAGTGTGCCACAGTTGTAAACAAAGCTATAATGCTGTTTATGCACACATGCTAGTTTGCTCTGTGATAGACTGAGAAATGGCATTTTAGGGTTTTCTAAGGGCTCAGTTTAAAAATTTGAGTCATTACCAATTTACCTTTTTTGTTTCCTTTTTTACATTTAATTCAGTTATTTGAGGAATGAATAACTGTACTTATTTTATAGATGAGGAAACGGAGGCTCAGTAAATATATTTTCCCAGGTCAAGTGGATAAAGCACTCTTGGAATACAGAGTTGTCTTGCTCCAAACAAGCAAGAGTTAGGAGTAGAAAGAGTAAATATTCTGCTTCATCTTATCAATAATAGAATATTTCTCCTTCATCTTATCAATAATGGAATATTTCTCCTTGAAGACAGCTGCTTTGCATGATCAGATAAAAAAGATTTACTGGTAGTGCCATTTTCTGCAAAATAGAATGTCTTTTCTCTAGGGCATACATTATACATTATAGCTGGTAAGAGGAAATAAATACTCTTATAGAATCTTAAAATATAGAGAAATAAGACATATTGAACTTTTATTTTGAGAATGAATATTTCAGTGGGAAAAGTGTTACTTTTCTACTGTTTTTAGGCTCTGTTCAAGTTAAACTAATTGGTCATGTTCTGGCTAATTTATACATTTATGTTCTTTCTCATGTATTTTTCTTCTTTCTGTATATAGATGCCCCCCACTGATGGATATTACTCTACACATGTTGAATGGATATCTTCTTGCATCCAAAGCTTACCTTAGTGCTCATCTGAAGGAAACAGCAGAGCAGGATAGGTCTTCCCAGAATAATACATTAGGTTTAGTTGGACAAACTGATGGCCCAGAAGTTACTAGAGAAGAATTGAAAAATGCATTACTGGCTGCTCAGGTAATATAAAGTAAAATTTAGTAAAAAAGGGCAAGTGCTTCACTATTAATATAATCAGCTAAGTAGAAGGCATATTATGCTTTCTCTGTACAAAGGTGTCATATTGTGCATTCCTTTTTTTATAGAATATAATATAATGGTGTTACCTTTACTTCTAAATATCAGAAGGACTGTATTACTAAAATCAGAAATAATATGATACTAATTTGTTTTATCCTCACCCAAAGATTTGGGAGGAAGGAAGGGTGAGAGAGAGAGAGAGAGAGAGAGAGAGAGAGAGAGAGAGAGAGAGAGAGAGAGAGAGAGAATGCGAAGAGAGAGAGAGAAACATCGATGTGAGAAATATTGATTGGTTGCCTCCTGTTCTCACCCTGACTGGGGATTGAACATACCTGCAACCTAAGTATGTCCCCTGACTGGAAATTGAGCCCACAACCTTTTTGGTGTATAGGATGATGCTCCAGCCAACTAAGACACTCAGCCAGGGCTTCATGATACTAATATAACAGCCATTTAAATCAGATTTACATTTTAACAAAATATAAAACTTCTGCTTCTTAAAATCAAATGGTGGCCCTAGCTGGTTTGGCTCAATGTATAGAACATTGGCCTACAGACTGAAGGGTCCCAGGTTTGATTCCAGTCAAGGACACGTGCCTAGGTTGCAGGCTCGATCCCCAGTAGGGGGCATACAGGAGGCAACTGATGATCAATGATTCTCTTTCATCATTGATGTTTCTATATCTCTCCCTCTCCTTTCCTCACTGAAATCAATAAAAACGTATTTAAAAAAAAATCAAATGGAAAAAATTTAATGGTGGAGACAAACAGAACAAGAAATAGATAGTATATATGCAGAGTAGGGCAAAAGTAGGTTTATAGGTGTATGTGAAACACAGTTTATTCTTGTGTTATTATTTACTAGAGGCCCAGTGCACAAATTCATGCACTGGTGGGGTCCCTCGGGGTGGCCTGCGGGGATCGGGCCCCAGCTCGCTCCTCCAGCTTTGCAGCCCCGCAACCCTGCAGCCCCGCCTGGCACCTCGCCTTGGCCTGGTGCTGCCCCCTCACCTGCTCCACCATCCCGCCTGTGGGGCGAATAATCAGGGCTGGGCCCCCACCCGGCTCCCTAGTGCCTGGGGGCCGGACAGCGGCCCTGCCCCCCTCCGCTGCCACTGCTGGTCACTGTCTGCAGGGCAATTGGCAGGGCCATTGGGCCCCTGCTCACATCCACCTTGGCTGTGAGCGGTTGGCCGGCCGGCCCCACCCCCAATAGGGATGGGGGAGCAAGTTGGGGGTGGGGCTGGCTGGGGGCAAGGGCCGTGGGTGGTTGGCTGGCTGGCCCCGCTTCCTGGTCAAACTCCCAGTCGAACACCTGGTCAAGGGGACAATTTGCATATTAGCCTTTTATTATATAGGATTATATTACTTTCCATATGAAGAACTATAAACCTACTTTTGCCCACCTCTGCATATCATAAAATGTCAAGCAGTGTTAAGTACTATAACAGAAGCAGTTCAATTTTATATTTAGACAAACTTTGTAACAATGTAGAATTTTATTGAAGCCTTAAGTAGTCCTTTTGAATAGTAAAGGAGATGTGAGGTGATTAAATGTGAAGAAATTTGAGGTCTGCAAAGTAGAAATATTTTCTTAGTTTAAAAAATATTTTCTGAAATCTTATCTTTGGTAATAGGAGAAATAAGAGAATAATATAGTTCCACAATGCCTTATCTGTAATACAGATATCCAAAAGGCTGTGGAAACTGAGGCCTTTTTTTTGGGTAATTCAATTGGCAGAAAAACCTGACCTGATATGACCTCATTTTTGACAAACTTGACCTGAATTGATGTGAAGCTATTTATGGCCTTTATTCCACTTAAGGTGAATATTGGTATGTTTCCTGCAGAAATATAAATATGTTTGATTATAATGTGCTACCCTAGTCTCTGCTGGTGGCATTATATAATATTTCAGTAAAAATAATTCTGAGTTTGAAAAGAAATCTGGCCCTCAGTTTCCAATAAGGCATTGAGAATCTTAATAGCTACCATTTATATAATGCTTACTATATACTGGGTACTATTCTAAGTTCTCTATGTATATTAACTTATTTAATCTTCTCAACCAACTTACAAGGTATGGAGTATTATCATCTCCATTTTTAAAGGAGAATGAGACCCAGAGAGGTTAAGTGACTTGCTCAAAGCTACACATCTAGTAAGTGGCAGAGCTAGGATCCAAGCCTGGGCAGTCTGGCTCCAAAGAACAAATATAAACAAAACAAAACAACAACCCCAAAAACCCCGCAACCCAAGAATTATGATTATAAAGCAAAGCTAACCTTACTTTATAAGTGATTCTAATATAAGCCTAACCTTACTTTATAATCCAGTTTTTAATGAGATGAAGGAATTGTTTTATTTAGACAATGTCTGTCTTTTAGAGATGCATGTTGTACATTTTTTTTTTACTTGTTCCTGTGAGATGAGAGTGAATATAGCTTTCCTTTACATGTAGGGGTGTTAAGGAAAGCACCCTGTAAGGAGCTACTATTCTATGAAATGACACTCCAGCCTGTAGACTGAGCAACATTGAATTGCACAGGTGGAATGGATGGTAAGGTAGAATTTTTCCTTGCAAAACCAAGGCTTTAAAAAGCCCATCTTCAAATTAAAAGGGAAAAAAGCTTTGGGAAGTGACTTTTAGGCAGTAATTATTAACCAACATCTTTAGAGGAATTAATTAGCTGGTAGCCAGGTGAGAAAAAGAGGGTAATACAGGATAGAGTAATACTGGGAGAAGTAGGAATTTACGAGGAAGGAAAGGACATTTAAAAAAAATATACTTTTATTGATTTCAGAGAGAGGAAGGAGGAGAGACAGAATCATCAATGATGAGAGAGAATCATTGATCGGCTGCCTCCTGCACGCCCCCTACTGGGGATCGAGCCTGTAACCTGGGCATGTGCCCTGACGGGGAATCAAACCGTGTCCTCCCTAGTTCATGAGTTGATGCTCAACCACTGAGCCAGGCCGGCTGGGCAGAAAGGACATTTTGATAGAAGTAATTTTTTTGCCTATGGTCTGTTTTGGATGTCACTGAATCAGAAAACTCTTCTAGTAGATATTCTTAAACTGGAGTCTATAGGATATGTGACCAGCCTGAATTAATGCTATATGTTTATTTATACATGTTAATTTTTATAGGGAGAGGATGTATAGTTTTCTTCAGATTCTTAAAAGAGTTTATAACCCTAAAAAAGTTGAGAGCCATTGCCCTATAGATTGCTTACTTTTCCCCTAGAAGTACCTTTGTTATAATTTTAATTTCTGTTCATGTGAAAACAAAATCAGATTTGTTTCAAATAAACTTCTCAGAAACTCCTTAAATTCACTGTTTTATTGGCTTGTAGGATAGTGCAGCTGTCCAGATTCTCTTGGAGATTTGCTTACCTACTGAAGAGGAGAAAGCAAAGGGTGTCAATCCAGACAGCTTGCTAAGGAATGTTCAAAGTGTTATTACTACCAGCACTCCAAATAAGGGAATGGAGGAAGGAGAAGACAATTTGCTTTGTAACCTTCGAGAAGTTCAGTGCCTTATCTGTTGTCTCTTGCACCAAATGTACATTGCGGATCCCAACATTGCTAAGCTTGTTCACTTTCAGGTCTGTTTTCAAAGAATGTTGCTTTATGGTTGAACTTTTTTTTGGGGGGGATGGAGGGTTTGAATACTAAATTAATAGGAATCATTTAGAAATGGGAGATAACAAATAATCATGTTCCTCTTCAATATGGAGAAAAATCATATTTTTTAGATTTTATTTCAGCCTGTTCAAGTGTTTAGATAATTTATTTTAGTGCATCAGAAAGGTGAAATGCCAGGATAGATACAGCAACTTTTACATAAAGGAAGTGAAACCTTCCTTTATATTTTTATCTGTAGTTGACCTATATCTTTATTTTCTTTATATCTTTTCCCTCCTTTCTTGTTGGGATAGGGCTATCCATGTGAACTTTTGCCTCTGACGGTCGCAGGTATTCCATCTATGCACATCTGTCTGGATTTCATACCTGAGCTTATTGCACAGCCAGAACTTGAAAAACAGGTAATGAGCATTTAGAGCTTTAGATAAATTTTGATCTCTCGCTAGTCTTGCTAGTTATGTAAAACATTTAATAATTTTTAACACTTAAAAGACATTCTTCAGAAACATGTAATGTTTGGATTTTGTATTGCAGATATTTGCTATCCAGTTGCTTTCTCATTTGTGTATCCAGTATGCATTACCAAAGTCACTCAGTGTGGCTCGCTTAGCTGTCAATGTCATGGGAACTTTGCTGACAGGTGTGTAGCCAACCAACATCAGTGAGAAAACTTCTAATAGAGAGAAGTACATAGTTTTTCTGAATTTAGTGACACTGTTTTCTGTGTCACTAATAGGTTTAATTTATGCCATCTTCTGAAAATTTTTCTATTACAAATGTGATTTATAGTGTAGAGATGAATAGGTAGGCAAACTGTATTGTTCATTTTGTGAATGACTATGTATAGATTTATAATAAATAATCAGCTTCCCACACTTAGCAAATGGAAATCAAATGTACTTTCTGAATGTAATTATATCAATAGAAAACAAATTACAATTATTACAAATGTGTAGAGTTCCAGAAAAACATAGTCCTATGTATAAATAAGATACATAAATTAGTTGTTTTCTTAAGTTCTAAAACATATCCTAACATTTTAACCACCTTTCGGTTCCTAGAGTAAAATAGTATGAAAATAAACTACTTTAAAAGATATGAACTATAATTTAATTTTGTAAAATAATGGCTTAGTTAATTATATATTCTTTTTCAGTGATCCCATAATACCCTGATCATTTTTCTTTCCATGTGTTCACCTCATGTTATAATTATTTGTAGTGGTTAAGAGCTTAAAGCCCAAGTTGAATCCCAACTCTACCACTAACTGGATATGTGGCCTTGAACAAATGTATTAAACTATATATGTGTGTGTGTGTGTGTGTGTGTGTATGTATGTTTTAATTGATTTTAGGGAGCGAGAGAAAGAGAAAAGAACATCAGTTTGTTGTCCCACTTATATATGCATTGATTGATTATTATATGTGCCCTGACCAGGGATTTGAACCCCTCAACCTTGATGTATTGGGATGATGTTCCATCCAATTGAGCTATCAGCCAGGGCTAAACTATGTTTTATTTATGAATTTTCTCATATAAAAATAGGTATCAGTATGGTACTTTTCTCACTCATAAGATTATGAGAATTACATGAAATAATGCATGTGATACACTTATCATAGTGCTTGGGCATAAGAATTTATATGTTGGATGATGGTTGCCTACTGGATTGTGAGCTCCCTAAAGGCAGGGGCTGTCCATGTCTTAGAAAACAGTATCCTCAGCACAAACATGGTACTTGTATATTGTATAGGCCATGTATGTTGAATTTATACCTGTAAAGACAAAAATTATTTCATTCTTTCCAACAGTTTTAACACAGGCTAAGCGATATGCTTTTTTCATGCCAACTCTGCCAAGTTTGGTCTCTTTTTGTCGAGCATTTCCTCCACTATATGAGGATATTATGTCTTTGCTGATCCAAATAGGGCAAGTCTGTGCCTCTGATGTTGCCACTCAGACTAGAGACATTGATCCAATTATTACACGTAAGTAGTAACTTATTTTCAGACCTGTTTTAATATCTCAGACAAAATCCTTTTTAGATTTCTTGCCTTAATTAAAATTTTTCCATATGTTTTTAGGTCTTCAACAAATAAAGGAGAAACCAAGTGTATGGTCTGGAATCTGTAAAGTTTCATCTTACAAAAATGGATCCAGGGACACTGGAAGCATGGATCCTGATGTACAGCTCTGTCATTGTATTGAAAGCACAATAATTGAAATAATAAACATGAGTGTTAGTGGAATTTAAAAAAAAAACTTAAAAAAATGAAGATGGTTGCTGCATATGCCCAATATGAATCTGTATCTTATAACAACTCTAAACTGAATGGGAACAGTACCGTCTTAGAATCAGTAAAATGGTTCAATTCAACATGAATACAATTTAGAACTCTCTTGAGAATTATGCTTGCTTGTATTTGATTGGCAGTTCTTTGGATCTATTTTGCTGGTATGTTTATATTGTAGTAGCTGAGCCTTTTTTTTTCCCCATTGGGGGCACATTTAAACAACTTATTACTGGAAAGTGAATTTGTCTTTGTATTTAGCTTTTGAAGTGGAGAAAAACTGCTATGCCTTTAATTTCTTATAAAAATGAGTTTGTGGGTAGCCCAAGTGTTTATTTTAGCTGTGAGTTAGTAACACAGTGTGACAATTATGCAACGATGAGAGGGAGAAAAAGGAGAATTCAGGAAAAATTAGGAATTTAAATACCCAAAATAGAAATATCTCAAACTTGCAATGCAAGTAATAGTAATGCAAGATCAAATTCCAGTTCTCAAGAAATGGTATTGAGAAGGCTTAAAAAAGGGCAAATAGCTTTTTGTAAATGATTTTCATGGAATTACAGGTGAGGATTTTAAGATTTTTACATGTTTGCTTCAATTTTTTACTAATATGTAAAGCCATATGTTTAAAGAGATACTTGAATAATTTGGGATTTTAAGATACTGGTTTAAAAGTGTATACAGAAATGTCTTTGTGCAGAGAAGAACCTGAAAGGACGGTCTCATTTAGTTTTTTTAAAATTTATTTTTATAATGCTTTACTAACGTATCTAATGGTCAGAAATACATTGGTACCTATTTAAGTTTTAGAGTAATAAAACCCCTTGCATTAAAGAGCTCTTTGTTTGTCATTAGGATTATAATTCACATCATAATCTTATATCTTTGACTAAGAAAATGTATACAATGTTTGGACCTCAGGAAAAATAAGAAAAACAAACAAACAAACAAACGGAAAATGCCATGTTGCTGAAGGATTTTGCAGTCCTCTGTTAATAACTTCCATTGATCATTAGGTAGATGCATTCAGGTAATCCATAATCCTCATTTTATTTTCTTAATTAAGTATCCAATGTAGAAGGTACTTCTCTTTGCTTTCTGAGATATACTGAATGACAGATATCATCCCCTTCTCTTGCCCCTACTTGAAACAGACCCCTTCACTTATAAAGGAAATTAGGCAGGCTAATAAGAAAGTGTGGTTTTTAAGAAATTAAACTTCAGCCTTTTTACTAGCAAATAGTCACATCTCATTTTCCTCCTTGTAAAATGGGATTACTACTGGCCCTACCTCATAAGGGTATCAAATGAGAACTAATCTGTAGCTGTTTCAAATCATGAAGTGTACAGTATTATAGATGGTAGATGCTTAATGTTCAATTAAGTAATTTTTGTGAAAAATAAAAGCATTTAAAAAATACCATTAGAATTTTCATATTTTTAAACAAGGCTGTTTTGTAGTCTTTTAAAATTAAATACTCCTGCTCCTGAGGCTTTGGAATATTTTGTGAGTAGTTAACCAACCTCTAGGAATTCAGAAAAGGTTGAAATATGTTTTCTAACTGAATGCAGTGCACATTCTTGGATAATTTTTCAAAGACTGGTCAAAACCTGCTGTGTTAAAATAACATGCTGTTTTTCATCAGATTTGTTGATGATGTAAATAAAGTGTGTAAATATATTAGTAAATGCTAATATTCATGTATTTTAAGTTAAGGTTATAAAATTTGTCAAAATGTGATTTTTTTTATTCAAGTGAAAACAGATGTGTGCAGCTATTTTGAATATTGGTCTATAAACATTCATCTTCTTTATCAAATGAGGTTGTATTTTTTTGTTTCATTTCACTACTGTTAATCTGAAAGGAACAGTTCAAGGAATTGGAATCTAGGACTATGTGGCTTCAGAGCATAGGTGAATCTATTTCAGTTGTGCCACATACATCAAATGGCAACACAAGGTTAGAGTCTGTTGAGCGCTTTAGAAATTTAGGCGAGAAGAATCAGAGTAGTTATCCTGGAGCAGTTACTTAAAAGATATTTAAAAATTTTGTAGACTGGCTATCTTGGCTCAGTGGTTGAGCATGGACCTATGAACCAGGAGGTCACGGTTTGATTCCCAGTGTGGGGCGAGCAGGAGGCAACCAATCAATGATTCTCTCTCATCATGATGTTTCTCTCTCTTTCTTCTTCTCTGAAATAAAAAAATAATAATTTAAAAAATTATAAAGGCAGAATAACAATTTGAAGGTATACTTAGGGATTTATTTTTATAAATTATCCTTTATTCCACTGTCTTAATAAATTAGTTTTGTACCTTCCCTTCATCTTTGCTTATATTTTCATATAATTCTTAATACCAAATGTGGAGTCTTTTTAAAAATTTAACTTTAGATGGAATTTGTTTGCAGGCTGCTTAGTTTTTATAATTATTTTATTGGCTTTATACTGATTGAATTGATAATAACCATCTCCCTATTACTAGGCTGGGAAGTTTATAGCCCCCCGCCCCCCTCCCCAGTATTATAATAGACACTGATCAATTGAGGTATTGTTAATTTTTCTTTCTTAAAGATTACTTCTTTAGGATAAATTGCTCAGCCTGAAATTACTGAATTAAAGAGTAAAATTTATTTTTATGACTTAAGCTTTGTCGTTTGGGGAAGATGTGAGACTCTCCTCCTGCAGCACACCTCTCTCCCCAAAGTAGTTTCCCGAATTTGAGAAACTAGCTGGTCTTACTTTTTTGGTACACTCTTTGAGCCAAGTTTAGGCTTTACAGAGTGAAAAATTTTTTTGGCGAGATGATGATTAACCGCCTACCTTTGAGGAAACTGAAGTGTACTCTTGGCAAAGAAGAATAAGTTGATTTTTAGGAGGGATAAGTCTTAACGGAGGTAGACGTAAGTGATCTGGTGCTGGAGAGCCCTCGAGAGGCTTTTCTGGTTGAATGTGGTATCTGGGAAATCCTTGATTATTGAGATAATGGAGCCCGTAGTCACGAACCTTTCACCTCGTCCGGTTCAGTAGACCAGCAATTCCAGCCTCATTCTTTTCCATCCCCTGGGCACTCTATTATATTAAAGCTCGGAATTTCGAACCCAGCGGCATGGAAGAACGCTTAGAGGAGAGGTCGGCGAGGCTCAAAGGGGTGTCTTCTCCGTTTAGCTACAGACCTGAAGAATAACAATTCGAGTTTCCCAAGAAACTGACACACGGGTTCGACCACCGGTCGCAAAAAGTCAAACGGAGCTGTCCCCGCCTTTGAATCCCTGGGATTTGCGCGGAGTCATTCGCTTTTCCCCAGTCCGTCTTCCGGTGCCGCCACTTACCTCGGGTCGATGGACATTGCGAGGCTCCCATTGGGCGAAGAATTCCCGTGTCTCGCGCCGGGATTGGTTGCTTGATTTCTAGTCTTGGCGTGTGATTGGTTCGTCTGAGCTCGTCCCGGCGATTGGTTGCCGGGAGTCGAGGGGGAGGGAGGCGGGAATTCGTCGGGGAGAGCGGTGGAGGGGACTGGTGAGAGCCGCAGGAGAGGAACAGTCAGGCGGCGCGGGCCCGCGGCCAGGCAGGGAGCCGCAACCTGGCGAGGGGGTGAGAGGCTCGTGGCCGTTCCTCGGCGCCAGGGCTCCGCTGCGTTTGCTCGCCGACATCGTGTCCTGTTGTCCTGGGAGTCGGAGCCCAGGCAGCGTTGCTTCGGTTTTCCTCAGACCAGGCAAGTCGGCCACCCGCGGGGGAGTGCTTTCACCTGACGGAGGGCGCCTTCTGCCGCCGCCCAGCCGCCCGGCGGGCTCCGCGGCGTCGGGGGTCACCTGCACCTCCGGTAGAAGGCAGAGGGCGGAAGCCAACCTGGGAGGAGGAAGCCTGCCCTCCCCTTAGAGCAAAGGCCTGTTACCGCCCGGCCCCGCGGTCACTTGGCAGCAGGGGGCGACAGTGGCAGGCAGACCCTCCTTCCCCGTCCCCCCGCCCCCCCCCCCCCCCCCATGTAGGGGACGCGGCCCCATTTTGAGAAGCTCATTGCCACAATTGGGGCGGGAGGCGGGGGGACGGATTGGTTTCTTGGTAATAGCTAAGTAACTAGGCCAGCGTTGAGTGGTTGGTTTCAGGACAAGGGGTTAGGTTCCACCAGATTTAATTCTCAGAGCCTCAGCGATAGAGTCACAGACTATTAGGTTAGAATAGGGGTGGCTTCCCAGGCCGTTTCGGCACAGTGGATAGAGCCTCGGCCTGCGCCCTGAAGGGTCCTGGGTTGGATTCCAGTCCAGGGCCCCTACTGCGGTTGCAGGCTCCCCGCCCTGGTCGGGGGCAATGTGGGAGGCAGCCAATCCCTGTGTCTTTCTCAGGGTGTTGCCTCTGTTTCTCCCTCTCCCTTCCACACTCTAAAAATCAGTGGGGAAAAAAATCCTTGAATGAGATTAAAATATAAATATATATATGTATACACACACTATAAGGCTATATATAGATATACTCTTAACTTCTCTGGGAACACACATATATCTAAATATCCTATCTAATAAAAGAGAAACATGGTAATTGTCATACGACCGATACCCTTCCCATTGGCTAATCAGCGAGATATGCAAATTAACTGGCAGCCGGCAGCCAGGCAGCTTAAAGCGAACATTAATGAGGCTTGCTTACTTCAGTGACAGCGGACTCCAAGTTCCCTGCCTGCCTTGCCGGCCTCTGAGAGGGCAGTTTGAAACAGTTATAAATAGAGAAGCTAAACAAAACCCCAGAAACCTGCTTTCAGAGTGCCGGGTTCTCAGAGCTGGAATTGATAGAGTTTCGATTATAGAACACAAGCAAGTCTGGGTCTGAGGGTTTCCGCTTTCCCAGCAGCAGAGGCCTCAGAGCTGGAGCCTCAGAGCTAAAGCTGGCCCAGAATAATAAAAAAAAAAAGAATAAAAGGAGCGGTTGGGAGCTTCAGTCACCCCCAGCCTGAAAACAGCCCTCATCCCCTCACCCAGACTGGCCAGGCACCCCAGTGGGGACCCCCACCCTGATCCAGGACACCCTTCAGGGCAAACCAGCCGGCACCCACCTGTGCACCAGGCCTCTACCCTATATAGTAAAAGGGTAATATGCCTCCCAGCACTGGGATCAGCGGAGCCGCGAGGCCTCCCTGCACTAGGATCAGCATGACAGGGGGCAGCGCCCAAACCCCCTGATTGGCCCTGCTCTGTGTGTGACAGGGTGCGGCACCCCAACACCCCCCTCAAGGGCCCTGCTCTGTGTGTGATGGGGTAGAGCCATAACCTCCCCATCGGCCCTGCCCTGAGTGTGACAGTGGCGGCGCCCCAACCCCCTGATCCGCCCTGCTGTGCGTGACAGGGGGGAGCTCCCCAACCCCTGATGGGCCCTGCTCTGTGCGTGACGGGGCAGCGCCCCAACCCCCTGAATGACCCTGCTCTGTGCATGACGGGGGGGTGGCGCCGCAACCTCCCCATCGACCCTGCCTTGAGTGCGACAGGGACGGTGCCCCAAACCCTCAATCGGCCCTACCCTGAGCGTGACTGAGGGTGGCATCACAACCTCCCGATCCGCCCTGCTCTGTGCATGACAGGGGGCAGCACCCCAACTCCCCAGTCTGCCCTGCTCTGAGCCCGACCAGGGGCTGCACCTAGGGATTGGGCCTGCCCTCTGCCACCCAGGAGCAGGCCTAAGCCAGCAGGTCGTTATCTCCCGAGGGGTCCCAGACTGCGAGAGGGCACGGGCCGGGCTGAGGGACCCCCCTCCCCCCGGAGTGCACAAATTTTTGTGCACTGGGCCTCTAGTATATATATATATATATACCCTTAACTTCTCTGGGAACACATTAGCAGTGGCTAAGGTTATTATTGGCTTCATTCTATGGAATTGCTGTCCTAACCATCCCTCCATCCCTAGATTGAATTTACCTCCCCCTCCCCCCTCTGTTGCAAATAATTTATCACTTGATAACAGTGTATGTCATTTCCCCCTGTATTTTCAGTTACTTCCTTAGGATATGTTTCTGGGAAAGAGAACCCTATGGACTTTCTCTTGAGAAAATGCAGCTGTGCACAGAAACTTGGGCATGCACTGTAGCGAGTTCAGTCTCCGAATGACACCTGTGGGTCCTAGGTTAAGAAAGAGTGGTTTAGAAGAGGCGGAGATTAAAGCCGGTCACTTCCTCTGTGTCGGATTCTGGAGTTTAGACTCATTCTGTAGTGACCTTATTCGTAACTCAGTGCTTGGTTAATTTGCATAAAATCCTATCAGATAGATAATACCTCCATTTCACAGGCTCTGAGACCTTAAGCGATTCACACAGCGAAATTCAAATTTAGGCTTGCCTGACTCCAGAGCCCGCTCCTTTCCATTCCACCATACTGTCCTTGAAGTAAGAATTCTTGCACACCTGCTGTATGCCAAGGAGTTTTCCTCCTTACAACCATTTTTACAGGAAGCATTGTTACAGGTAAGGATCTTAGTCTAGAGCAGTGGTTCTCAACCTTGGCTGCACATTAGAATCACCTGGGAATCTTTTTTAAAATCCTGATTTCTGGGCCTCATCCTCTGGAAATTCTGTTTCTTTGTTATGGGGCGGGGCCACAACATTAGTAACAAAGAAACAGAATTTCCAGAGGATGAGGCCCAGAAATCAGGATTTTAAAAAGATTCCCAGGTGATTCTAATATGCAGCCAAGGTTGAGAACCACTGTTCTAGGGCAGTGGTCGGCAAACTCATCAGTCAACAGAGCCAAATATCAACAGTACAACAATTGAAATTTCTTTTGAGAGCCCAGTTTTTTAAACTTAAACTATATAGGTAGGTACATTGTTATTAACTTAATTAGGATACTCCTAAGGCTTAACACTCAAGGGGCCAAAGAGCCGCATGTGGCTCGAGAGCCGCAGTTTGCCGACCACGGGCGAGAAATGAAGAGATATTATCAAGGTACATGTGTGAGTTGTCACAGTCTGATCTAGAACCTTTATTTCCTAACTCCTGGCCCACAGCTTTGGCAAAGTAGGGATACACAACCAGGTGTGTTAGATTCCAAGACGTGCTCTCAAGTGCGGTGATTTATAAGGCCAGGAAATTATCTCACTTCCATTTGTTTTGTTTATATACTTATTCCAATTTTTATTTCCAGATTTCTGTCTTAGTGTTGGGTATCTGGTTTTCTTTGAATGGCATTGTTTCAAGATTGATTTTCATTTGTGTTGCAGTTAGGAATCTGAAGTAAACAAGCGAGTATGATGTCTTCAGTGTGCTCTGAATATACCATTGGTGGGGTGAAGATTAGCTTTCCTTGTAAAGCTTATCCATCCCAGCTTGCTATGATGAATTCTGTAAGTATTTTTCAGCAGTTATTTGAAGTCTTATTAAGATACCTATGTCTGTAAGTCATAACATACATTGAGTCTGTGACTACATTTATTTTCTCAGATAGTAAATGGATTGAAAACATTTGCTGGGTTTATTGAAGAACAGCTAACCTTTGGAAAAGTATTACTGATCCCTGCTAAACTGTCTGTGTCCATGGTTAGTTACGAGGCAAAGGAGAACATTCTGAACAAAGTTCTCAGCTCATTTGGGACTTTTACTTTACGGAATTACGGCTTTCTACAAAGTATTTATTGTCTTCCACATGGTACACTCTAGTTCCTACCGTAATTTTTTTGAAGATAGTTCAGTCATATGGAAACAAACTTTAGTTTACCAACTTTCCAACTTTGTTATATTTTAATATTTTGCCATATTTGCTTTATACCTTGTTTATAAATAACAGGATTACTAGTATCCTTAATTTTTTCTTTTTCTTTCCTAGCATTGCTTTAATACATTTATTATGTATGTATCTAGTTAATTTACATAATTTTGAACTTTGCACAATGATATCATACTATACCTCTCTGTAGAACTTGATTTTTTTTTCCTTTAACATTATTATTATTTTAATAGATTTTAGAGAGAGGAAAGGTGAGAGACGGGGAGAATCATCTATAGTTGCCTCCCACACGTCCTGATCAGGGATCAAACCTGCAACCTTTGTATGTGCTCTGACCAGGAATTGAACCTGCCAAATTTTGGTGTACCGGACGATGTTCCAACCAACTTTGCCATACTGGCCAGGGCTGCTTAACATTATTTTTTTATTTTTTAAAGGGGTGAATGATGATTTTTATTTTTATTCTTTTAAATATATTTTATTGATTTTTTACAGAAAGGAAGGGAAAGGGATACAGAGTTAGAAACATCGATCAGCTGCCTCCTGCACACCCCCTACTAGGGATGTGCCTGCAACCAAGGTACATGCCCTTGACCAGAATCGAACCTGGGACCCTTGAGTCCGGAGGCTGACGCTCTATCCACTGAGCCAAACCGG